CCAGGGGCATCTCATGGGGCCCCCTACTGACCTCCCGGGCAATAGGGGATCATGGGGCCCCCGTGTCCTTGCCCAAATTCAAAAAAGCCTATGAAAAAGGTACCAGGGGTATCTCATGGGGCCACCTACTGACCCCAGGCCCTCGGGCAGTCCCTGAGTTTCCAAATGGTCAGTCCGCCCCTGCCTGGAACCCAGACCTTACAGCATCTTCTAATTCCAGCTTTCAGCAAAGCATTCTCCCTTCTTCAGCCTCTCCCACAGCTCAGTGCAAGGCTTTCAAATAAAGAGTACACAATGATAATATTAGCGATGGAACCTCTTTAAGAGGTTATCTAGGGCCTTAATGCATTTTCTTTTTCTTTTTCCTCTTTACAGCAACCTGTGAAATGTGCGGAATGGTCGGGGTTAGGGATGCATTTTACTCAAAGACAAAGAGGTTCTGTAGCGTCTCCTGCTCCGAAGCTATTCCTCAAACTCTAAGAAGGCAAGCATCCTGGCGAGGCTACAGGTAGCAGGCTGAGAAACACCCTTGCTTATCACGTCTACTTGGTTTAGGGTTTGTATAGATGAACAGGGCTTCGTTGCCCGTTATGATGAACCACCGTCATTTCACCGCTATGTGACCGCATGTCTGTGCCCAGGTATACGCCTAAAAAAAAAAAGCACGCACACAATCATGGATTCCACTTGTTTCATGAACTCCCTAGTTGCACTTGAAATTCTGTATACCAGCGCTTGCTGATCCCATACAGGTGGGTTGACCGTGGTTCACTGGCTGGTTAATGCGGGCCAACACAGGTACATGGTAAACACACCCTCTTCTATACAAACCCTTGAAGGGGTTTTCCACTATGGTCCTAAAGTGGAAGTTGGCACCTAAGGAGAGGTCATCTCCTTCATTTCCACTTTAAGCAGTGCCACAGCCTGCTGATTACATTGTTGCAAAGGTTTCTTTTTTTGGGGGGAAAATCTATTTATTCAATGCAAAGGTTTCTTTTAATCTAAAAGTGGAAATCCCCTTTAAATACCAAAGCACTGTGTATTGAGTGTAGCACTATAGCTGGTAGCACTGCTATGGAGCATGTCTTTGTTGGCAGAGGCTGATTTGTTTGCCACCGTACACTTACTGATGGGTTTCACGTGTGAATATAAAAGTGAGCAGAGATTGTTGGTGAATGTCTGACAAGTTTAAATTGCACCTGTAGTGTTTTATAAAAAATATGCTGTAAATGAGGGCAGTACTGGAGGTAGCCTTTGCTTTTTATTCTAGATGTGTGTTGTCACTTGTATTCTCTCCCCATCAAAGCAGAATGATGTAAAGCCGGCCGTAGATGGGTCAAATCTCGATTGCTTCAGCAGGGACCAGTTGAGATTCAGTCCATCTATGGGCAGGCTGCTTGAACTGAAGTTAATCTGTCAACTTCAGTATGACCAGCAGCTGTCAGATTATTTTGTATGCAATTACTGCTGGTAGCTATATCCTCCAACAGTGATCATTGTAAGATGTCTACAGGGAAGGCTCCTCGCCAGCACAATGGCAAAATGGAAGTATTCCCTCATCAACACTGCCGGTTGATGGGGGGAATCAGGGGAATAAACTATGGCTTGTTTAGTTACGGTACATATAAAGGTGCAGCGCTAAAATAACATAAATAAGAACAGCATATTATAGCATAAAATAAAGTGCAGAGTATCGGATCACACTGAGGTGAACTTGAGTGAATAAAAAGTCCCAAGATAAATGAGGGCCCAACGTGGGGATCCAGTAGATCCTAATGAGTGTGTGGGGCAGGATTCCAGTGTACCACACGGTGAATCTAGGGTAAAAAAGTGCGCACTCACCAGAAGTGCGTCAAAAATACGCATGTGAAATTATCCTGTTACATCAGGTAGCGGTCATCTACTATAGTGATCTGACTGACGCAGCTGTAGTAACTTGTCCCACTAGAGAGGTTATTGTAGTTTCCACTGTTTGGATCCGTGTCTGTAGCCTGTCAATCAGCCCCTGGCCACGCCCAGTCCTGCCCACTGATTCTGGATTGACAGCACTGCCTCTGGTGCTGAAACTCTCTTCTGCTGTGAGCTGTAGTGTCAATATAACATTAATGTACTTCTTTACAACTCCTTCATTAGCCATCCTGAATTTGTTATAACAAATTCAGGATGGCTAATGGAGAAGCTTGTAACAGAACACTGAGACTGAGCTAAGGCCTAAGGCCTAGTTTAGGAGAAATAGAAAGCTTTATCTTTTCTGTAAAGAAGTACATTAATGTTATATTGACACTACAGCTCACAGCAGAAGAGTTTCAGCTCCAGAGGCAGTGCTGTCAATCCAGAAGCAGTGGGCAGGACTGGGCGTGGCCAGGGGCTGATTGACAGGCTACAGACACGGATCCAAACAGTGGAAACTACAATAACCTCTCTAGTGGGACAAGTTACTACAGCTGCGTCAGTCAGATCACTATAGTAGATGACCGCTACCTGATGTAACAGGATAATTTCACATGCGTATTTTTGACGCACTTCTGGTGAGTGCGCACTTTTTTTACCCTAGATTCACCGTGTGGTACACTGGAATCCTGCCCCACGCACTCATTAGGATCTACTGGATCCCCACGTTGGGCCCTCATTTATCTTGGGACTTTTTATTCACTCAAGTTCACCTCAGTGTGATCCGATACTCTGCACTTTATTTTATGCTATAATATGCTGTTCTTATTTGTTATTTTAGCGCTGCACCTTTTATATGTATTCTGTTGGAAGGTTCATTCTCGGTTACCTTTTTGGTGTTCTAGTAGCTATCTTTTATATAGTTTTGGATAGCGCTCGCATATTACCTCTTTACTATGTTTAGTTACGGTGTCTGGCTGTCCCCCAAGGAGAATGACCTACCTCCTGTCTGAACTCAGGGTTCACTGGTGCTCTAGGAGGATACAAATGTTAAATTTAAAGTCTTTAATTTTCATTCCTGAAATTTTACAGCACATTTGTTTTATGTTTTGGCCCGATGAGCTCAGGAAAAGCTAGTATAGGCTTACAGGCTTCTGTTCCGAGAGGGAGAGAATATAAGTATCTAGCACAAAAAACGTTCCCTTAGAAGTAAACTGGCGCTATAACAGTTCAATAGCCTACATTTTGATTATTACAGATGCTGATTGGCTGACTGGTTTCAGCATTTCTATAATACACTAAAGCATTCATACCTGAAAACACAAGTATGTCCTGTACTCCTACCATCACAGCATTGTGTTGACACATACAGGTGCTCTTTAAAGAGACACTGGCCCGTTGCATATTCAGGACAAAGGGACACTGTGTGAAAAGGATCTTTCTTCCCTGACCCACTGATGCTCACCTTTTCTGCAATCCCCTGCCACTTCTTTCTCTATATCAGCTGGAATAAATACGCGGTGTTTCTGGGTATGGGTGACCATATGACCTCCTCCCACGTGACATTGTTACAGTGCTTGGGCCTATGGGAACAGGCACAGTGACACAATTGAGGGGGTGACATTGTTTCATTAAAGCATAAATGTAACTCAAAATAAAAATATAAAAATCAGCACATAACTTACAGTCTGTAGGATGTGTCCCTTGTACCAATTCTTTTTTTAGTTGAAATCCTCCTTTGTACCTGTCACCTTCCCCCCACTGCTGTCCTAACTCCCGGAGCGGTGGGAATTAATACAAGAGGCGGTCACAGGCTCTCATCAAGAGTCCGGCTATGCCTGCTATTTCCACTTAGCTGCACCATTCATAGTAGCTGTACGGCAGCTTCTATAAATGGAATAGGATCTAAGATTGATGTATGGGCAGGTGATTGATTGCTCCATCCCCTCCTTTCATGGATCCTGTTAAATTCGGTGAAGCTGTAGTACAGCTTCTACAAACAGAGCAGCTAGGCAGAAAAATGGCATATTCGGGCTCTCTTGATGTGAGCCTGTGACAGCCTTTTAGTTGTATGAACCCTCACCCGAGATTACAGCAGCGGTTGTGGTGGACTGGTACGGAGAAGGAGTCGGCACAAGGGACACATCTCACCGACTCCCTTGTGCTGATTTTATCTGGTTTAATTTTGGCTACACTTAGGCTTGACAGGAAACTTATCAGATGCATTATAGTATGTAAAGTAACATAAAAGCTTAATACAGAGATTCTGCAAGTACTTTTTCTGATCCCATCTTAGACACTCTGACCACAGCAAAGGCATTGACTTGTCTGATTTGGACCTCATCTCTAACATTTGACAAACATTTATTAGAACCTTACTAGCCACTAAAAGCTCTGGTAATGGATTGCAAATCGTGCCCAGAATAGAGGCAGACAAGGTATTTGCAAGTATATCTTGATGCCTGCTGCTAAATGAAATCCTTTCATGTACTAATCTATATCTGTGCAAAGATCACTCCTAGACACCTTATACTCCTCTATCCTGCACTCCCTCTCAATGCCCCTTCCTACTGCCACTGAAAAAACTGGAATCAGAACTTTAACATATGACAGTGCTAGGTCAGACCAAACATTTGTGAGAGGAGGTGACGCGCTGCCTCATACCTAGTACCACCAAGTAATTTGCAGTAGAGTATTGGCGAGCCCCCGTATAAAGGTGGTCAATTTTACACAGACCCTGTCATTTTGCCCTGAATGTGCGAGTGACAGGGTCTCTAAGTCCAGGGGCAGCTTAGTTCATTTCAGCCTACCAGTAATCATTGCTGCCTTGTAGCATGTTCTATTCTGATGTACTTCTCCCTTTTTAGGGTAAACCTCCCACTAAAAGAGCAAAGGTTCTCCAAAAACAGCCACTTGTGGCTAAGCTTGCAGCTTATGCGCAGTATCAGGCTACACTGAAGAATCAATCGTTAAGTAAAACTGGTAAGTCCTCTCTCTGCGTGCATTCTCCCTGCAAATGTAGTACTCAGAGTTGGTAATTTTGTCATCCTTATTTTGCAGCAATCACTGCAGAGGGATTTAACTGGGGCACCTACATCACTAGCAATAACCTGGTGGCAGCTCCAGTCTCTTGCTTCAAACATGTAAGTTCAGCTGTCATGGATTATGTGAATGGTAACTGTACTCTATCACTCGCTGGGGACACATGTACTGGGAAGGTTACTTGCCCTTACTTAGTAGGTGACGGATGCTAAGAAACTTGACTCTACCCTTCTGGGCTGCTCCCAGTGTTAGCCACTCAGTCAGTTTTTCTTTTGATCTGTCAGATTGGCTAATTACCAACAACTGTGTGTAATGATTTGCTATCTGATTGGATATCATTTGAATGGATTATTCCATAAACTTCCAAACTACTTCTACAAATATATGTTGCGCTCCTAAATACTTCTCAATAAATAATAATTAAATTACTACCATTAAATTAATTCAAATTATGATACAAATAACTAATAAAAGTGTATAAAATACCAAAAAATATTTAAATAGATAATTTCAACTAATCAATCTCCTCCAAATAAATATCAAAATAATTCCACATAAAATACTCCTCTAAAAAAATTTTACTAAGTGCTCATATATCATCTATTAGTGACATGATGTACTTACTAATACCCTCAATTTCATTTATATTCATAATACCCTCATTTAATATAATAAAAATAATAAACCAACTGATAACTCTCAACTAAAAGGCATTTAAATGATCCCCCATAAATAAAAATAACCAAATGCTCATAAATAATTAGTAGTGATTAGTATGAATCCAAACATCATCAAAATAATAGTCCCATTGAATAAACAATTGTTTATATATAGTGACTTGGTGCTTGTTGTTCTTCAATTTGTGACTTTTGTGAATCCTTCAAATAGTGAAGATGTGCGCTCACCTCCTTTGATGCCTGCATTTAGGCTATACACGCTTTCGGTTCACTTTCCCTGGAACCTGCTAGACATATACTTTTGCTGGTAAAATTGGGAGATCCTTCCTTTAGGAGTAATGGATGTATCCTCCGGTGGCTGATTATCCCCTCAGGGATTACACACTCCTTTTGTTATCCCAGACCTCCTAATTATCCTCTCCTTGTGTTACTCCGCATGCAGGAAGAAATAGAGGACATAGTGCTTTACCTTTTAAAACTTTTTATTCCCACCATCCAAGTATTAAACTCACATTAGACAGATTTAAATAACGCAATATCCCATTGGAAATTTTCTTCCCCGGTCCCCCTCTAGCTCCAATACCGCTCCTCCACCTGCTGGCATAAAAGCCAGTCTTTTACTGTCCAGTGTCTGACTTGAAAAATGGGTGGATCCCTGAAACGTGCTGTGCCCAGGGGCGGACTGACCATTTGGAAACTCGGGCACTGCCCGAGGGCCCAGGGTCAGTAGGGGGCCCCATGAGATGCCCCTGGTACCTTTTTTTTATAGGCTTTTTTAAGTTTGAACAAGGACACGGGCCCCATGATCCCCTATTGCCCGGGGGCCCCATGAGTTGTCAGTCCGCCCCTGGTTGTGCCCACCCACATCCTGGCATCGGTGGTAGCAGTTGGGATTAGAGGGAGGCTGTGTATGGTGTTGGTTGTGTTTGTTTTTTTTTTTCTTTCCCCCGGTGGGTCCGGCTCTCCACCACCTGGCTCATTGATCTGTTGGTCAGAGTTGCTGTGGATTTAAAGTTCATCCCCTACCCCAGAGCTACTCTTCACTTGCTTTCATGTAAGTTTAGATCTGTTTTTGTAAATAAGCTTGGTTACTTTGTACTTTTCCAGCACCTTGGTTACACTGACTATTGCCATGACATTCTACTATAACTAGTGTATGAATATAGTTGGGGCTAGCATCTTCTGGGAAGTTCTTCTGCTGGTAGCTTGAGCCTTGTCTCAACAGTGATTTACAGTTAGGTCCATATGTATTTGGACACAGGCACAATTCCATTTGCACAGTCTTATCCCATACCTCACCCTGCCACCCCCCCCCCCTCCATTTTCCCTAGTCCATACCACAATCCTAGTTTCTATCCTGTCTTATTATCTATCTATAGATAATACCTACCTGATCATCTATACCTGATTATCTATCTATATCTGTATCCCTTCCCTCCTATCTCCTTCTCTCTGTCGGGTACTCCATTAGAACTCCTAACACTCTTCCACCTATATTCCAACCAATTCCAGATATCTTTTGATGTTTTAAAAACCAACCAGCTACTCCACATTTTCTCGTCCATCCTCCTCAATATGACACAACTCCTCCCATCCTGTCGATATTTTCCACTCTGTTAACCCAGTCATTTATACTTGGTGGATCTGCGGCAGGCCAAAATTTGGGAATCAAGCTCTTGGCCGCACTGACTAGATTATATAATACCCTGTTCTTGTGTAGTTTTACTAAAGGTTCAAAATTATAAAATAAACATGTCCACTGGTCTCTCTGTACAGTAATCCCGCTTATTTCCTGAATATATTGTATTAGTCCCTGCCAGTAATCCTGTATTTTCGGGCAATCCCATCATATGTGTACCATTGTTCCTTTTTTCCCCACATACTCTCCCACATAAAGGTGAAACATCTACTTGTTGTTTATGTGCCTTACTCAGTGTCATATACAATCTAACCATACATTTGTAATTCATTTCAACTGTGCTCATATTCGTCACCTCATGTTTTAATTTGAATATATTATTCTTTTGTTGCTCATTCAATTTTGATCCAAGCTCCTGTTCCCATTTTTCCAAGAACTGGGGAGGAGCAGTACCCTCCATATCCATAGGAATCTTATTAATCCTAGAAGTACCCTGTTTGGGGTCTATAGCTACGTTCAGTAGTTTCTCAAATGGATACTGATCCTCCAATGTCCTCATTGGTTGTGGAAGCGTTGAGACAAAATTACCTAATTGGCCGTACTGCAACTCTTTTAATGTGGAAAATCTTCTTTTTTTTTTTTCTCTTTAAATCAAAAAAAGTGTGCAATTTCCCCTTTATTTATATTTTATTTATATATATTTATATATCTTTCAAACATGCATTCTGATCTTTGATCCATTTCCCAGAGATATCATCATTCCCTGGGGGAAAATACTCCCTTCCCACCAAGGGAATCATAACTGAATTATATTTCCATCCCTTTTGCTTATCCATTCTATCCCAAACCCTTAAAACTTTCTTTGCAGTGGGCTAATATTCACATCCAATGTGCGGAATTTATGTGGTACCCAAACCATCTTCCCTAACGGTGCCTTACTCAGAATCTCTCCCATGTTCACCCAACCTTTCCCTTGTGAATTAAATATCCAATCTATTATTCGTGATAATATCACCGCTTGATAATATTTCTTAACATTTGGCATACCCAAGCCCCCATTCCCTTTTGCCCTACACAATACCTGGTACCTAATTCTCGGTTTCTTATTTGCCCAAATAAATTTAAGTATCTTCTTTATTATCCCGAAAAAAGATCCTTGTAGGTGTACTGGGGGCATGTGAAACTTATACAGATTTTTGGTACTATCACCATCTTACCAGGTTTATCTGACCTCTCCAGGAAGATGTTAGTTTTATTCCCAAGTAGCCTATTTCCACTTCCCTCCATGGAAATGGGGATAGGAAACAATGATGGAAGTTGTGCTGCTAGATAGTATTCTTATTATTTAGATAGAATTTTATATATATATATATATATATATATATATAAGATTTAGGAACACTTTAATATCCCACAATATTTCCATCGTATGTGCTAAGCATAGGTCTAGGGAGAAAACAATGCAAGCCAATGCACTGATAAATAAAAATGTGGGTATAAACTGTTATATTAAATATTCAATAATGATCACAAACAAAAATGTCACAACACCGGAATGTCTTTAGATCATGCTGCAAAATGGCACTCGCCTATGGACAGCACCTCTGACATTATCTTCTCATCACAGGCACCAATGGGCAACTGCTGGGGGGACATAGCTGAAGGTGTACGAGTCGAAGTCCTCAACACAGATCAGAATTTGACTTCAAAAGTGTTTTGGATTGCTGTAATTGTGAAACTGGCAGGTAGGTTTTTTATGGGGGTTTTTTTGTTTTTTAATCTTCACTGGCTTCTGATTAATATAATAGCTTTTGTACATAACAATACTGTAAAATGCTGGCTTTTGTTTTCAATTGCAGAGCCACTCAAGCACATGCCTTCAATGCTAAATCACAGCCAAGTGCTGCATTTGGCTTACTTTACCTTACATCACACATCCTAGTAGGACTTACTTTATGAACCTGTAGGTTCTGAATACTTTTCACTGATTTCCTATCTATGCTAAAGTAACTTCAGGCTTTACACTCCATCACACTATTAGTAAATCTAAACTCCAAAACTAACCTAAGGTATAGTCCAACCTTTCTTTAAAATAATAAATTAATGAACGCACACTTTTATAAAAATGTGCTCTTGTTAATGTTTTGCATTAAGTGTAAAGGACTGCATCTGTGATCAGTGCATCTTGGATCCAATGCACAGGTTCCTACAGGGTTTTTCCCCAGCCCCGGATGGGTACTGTCCTAGCATTTATGGGGCTGGAGGAATTAATCCATGGACTACAAATATGGTGATGTAAATCCTAATAGAGTACGAGTGTGGCAACGCGCCCCACTGCCACAGTGGCAGATGGGCCTTGTAGTCTAAAATGCTCAAATTTCTGTGAATGGATTACTCGGCTGCACGGGCGAAGCAGCGCACAGGCTTGCCGAATTCAAAACTACACAGAAGCCTATTGGGAGAGGAATCTCGCAATTCTGGTAATTGAAAATATGGGTGTAACATGAAGCCTGGCATGAAAGGTGGGATATGCTCTTTTTTGGCCACATGTGTGCGTGCATGCCAGTGATGACCGCATGACATTTCTAGGGTAAGTTTACAAAAGCCACTGTGTTGCTGATTTCCTGGTGCTGCAGATATCCAACATTGTGTCATATACCTACTCCGCCTGCCATGGCTTTACCCAGACTCCTACATCCTGTGATAACATAGGAGCTTATGAGGAGCAGGTATATATAATCTTCTGATATGCAATAACTGTAGACCATCAGATTAGGTGCATTTGTAAATTCAAGACACAGTGTGTCATGTTAACTGGTCATGGTACCAGCTAAAGCAGGAACATAGGCAAGGATTAAAAGATAAGGAAGCAGTATACTTGGTAAGTGATTAACTAGAAAAACTGTATGTTTAATATCACTTTAAAAGTTGTCCGACCATTTTTTTCTTAAGATAGCCTTACAGTAATCATTTTTTTTTTTTTTTTTTTTTTTTTCCTTTAGTAGGTTGAATGGAAAAAAAATTACCCATTTCCCCCATCCACAGATTCGAGGTGGATGCGGCAATAGCTCCTCCTGAGTTACTGTATGCTGACAGCAGGTAGACTTCCCCACAGTCAGAATACACTGATCAGTGCTGCCGGCTGTAGCCGGTGGCACAAATCGCTCAGGAAAAACCCAAAACATTGGTTGTACAGAAGTTGATCATTAGATCGACTTCTATACAACCACTCTGCCCATACATGGATCAAAATTGGTCTGGTCCTTGCTGAAGCAGCTGGATTGCGATCCATATATGGCTGCCCATAGTTTTGCGTAGAATGGGGAGCCCCTTGTCAGGGTTTTACTGCTGTCTGGAATGCCTTTACTCTTTAATTCCTGTCTGCGCTGAGGTTTTTACCAGAAAGGGAAGGGAACTCCAACAGCAACAAAGACAGAAATAAAAATGGTTTTCTTTAGTAGAGTAGGAGAAGGCTAGCAGGCCTGTCAAATATTTTACTCCTGTCTTTGTGCTTGTGCACATTTTCCTTCACTGCCTGTCTGATTAAACTTATCAGGAGGACAGTCATTTAGGGTAAATTTCTCTTAAGGCTAAGCTCACATCTGTGAGGGTGGTTCACGCTGCAGGTCCACCCCTGTTCCTGCGGCCACAACCACCCAAGCAGAAAAACACACTGGATGCATGCTGGATGCATTAATCCTAAAGGCGTGCCACACACTAGAAATCACTTCCACACTGGGAACCACAGAGCACTTGCGGTTCCCTTGGGGGCTGCAATTTCTAAAATGCTGCAGGGACCTTTCCCTGCGTTCTAGGAGACACAGCAAGCCCATTCAAATGAAGAGCCACATGTGTGAACCTAGCCTAATGGAGTTACAGATGGCACTAAAGACCTGGTGGGAGTTCTGACTCTTCCCTACACTGTCCAAATCCAGTAAGAAAAAGGTTTCTTTTTAGTGGTTAAAAGCCAGCTATATAAACATGTGCCCCCAATGTCCACAATGTGTTATTTTGTGTTTAATATTGGACTTTTGTCTTTTTTCAACCAGACTAACTATATAACTATGTAATTATGTAATATTCCTTATACTGTCTTGCATTTCCAGGATACAACGCCTTACTGCGATATGAAGGCTTTGAGAATGATACCAGTCTGGATTTCTGGTGTAATATTTGTAATAATGACGTTCACCCAGTTGGTTGGTGTGCAAGCAGCGGAAAGCCACTAGTACCACCCCAAAGTATGTTCATTTTTTTTTTTCTCACTCCACAGGATTCTGTTGCTTCCAACTTTATTCAGTTGTCAAAGCGTTAAATGCTGAGGTGATGTCTTTTGTTACTAGTTAGTATATGTGAGTGATTTTTATTTTGGCTCAGAACACACTTAACCTCCCTAGCGGTATTCCCGAGTGTAGCTCGGGGTAAAATGTCAGTACCAAAAGCGGTAACCACGAGCTACACTTGGGCTTACCATGCGGCGCTGCATAGGGAGTCCCTGCAGAGCTTACCTTGTCCTTCGCTCCCACGATGTGTCCCCTGCAGCGTCCCCGGCCATCTCCTCCGGCCGATGCCGGCATCCGGCTTCTGTGTTCCGGTCCCTGTGACGTCGGGACGTACGGGCGCCGCCGGCGGCGGGAAATTTGAAAATTTTAAAAAATTTAATTTTTTTTTCCAAACAAATTTTACATAGTAAAACATTGCTGTTCCAAACCATTTCACATACATTTTGTCCCGAGTGCTTTGTCTGGCGCCCTGCCTGCATTTTGTCTGTTCTTTCTGCCTGGAAACTGAGAAAAGTCCATGGCGTCCAAAAAGTGTCCCTTTAGGTCAAAAGCGGTTTTAGACCGGCTAGAGAACAGCGATAGTAAATCAGAACCACTTGCAGAATTGAGTAATAATGATTCGTGGAGAAATTCGTCATCAGACACTAAAAACGATTTTACGACTTTGCTCAGTGATGTGCGAACTTGGCGCTATATTTCAAATTTCAGTGTTTTTGGTTTGATTATATTATTGAATTAAATTTAATATTATTATTTTTTTATGATTATTTATTAAATTATAATTTATGATTTCGTGTTTCAAATTTTATCATACCCGGGATGTTTAATAGACTCTTGTTCGGACAGATTTCAGTGAGTTATTCCTAAAAATTACAGCCTACAATAAAAAAACGACATATTTCCATGCAAAATAATGGTACCGCTTTCAGCACCAAAAATCTGAAATAATCATACCGCTAGGGAGGTTAAAGGACAATTTCAGGTTTATTAGAAAACCTCTCAGCGCCTCTCCCAACCCCTCCAAATATACACGGTTGAGCCACCCACTTATCTGCGGCATCGGATCTGTGATCAATAATACATCATTAAATGCATTTTTTTATATTTTTTTTGTAATGCAAACAGTCTTAGTACTTGAAACTGACTTAGTATCAGCTGCGTTCAGTCCTTATACCAAGCTGGAGTGAAAGAGTAAGCAGCCACTGGAGGGTGGGAGGAAGGAGCCAATCAGTCCATGTGCTGACAAGGAATATGCTGATAGGAAGGAAAAGGGTGACAGTGAGATGAGCTCATTACTGTGCTGTTTCTCCTTTCACTATCCATTCACAAGCTAGGGTGGGTCCAGGATGACCTGGGCTCAGAGGAGGTGGGTTGAATGATGCTGACCAGAAGACTAAGGACATTTAGTGCTAAAAAAATACTGAGGGGAAAATCTTTGGAATTAAAGTGAATATTGCAGATAAAACTGTTTTTGTTGTTATATCTTTTAATGGGCAGTTCATTTTTATCTTCATTTCAGCTGCTGTAATGTAAATCTGTATAAAAAAAAAAAAACTCCGAGACTGGTATCACTGAGCTGCTTCTGAAAATGCTAATTATCTTTCTGTCTGCGACAAGGTGCTGACCTTGAACAAGCATGCAGATCAGGAAAATCGGTACTTTCCGAACTCCTGGTCTGTATGCTTGTTCCAACTTTGTGATTGAGTCAGCCAGGGAACAAGCATGTTCGGAAGACAAGGGCAGCCACAGCAGTTTCCTTACTTGCTGTAAACCTCCCACCTTTTAAATAGATCCAGCAAGGTTTGGACTGACACATTCATTTCTGCAATTCAGTGATTAATTCTATAATTGTGCAGGCCTACTTATAAAACGTATACGTATTTTGCCCATATATGTTGTGCTACTTTTGAAGACAACTCTGATGCTGAGAGGCCCCCAATGACATTTGCTACTCTATAAACTGTCTGACCTCATGTTGATAATGCACACAGCCCCCCCAGCTCCTGACTATGCAAAATGTTATCCAGTAACAGAGCCTTTGGGTTGAGAAGCACAGACAGGGCTGTCTTTAACCGCTTCAATACCGGGCACTTTTACCCCCTTCCTGCCCAGGCCAGTTTTCAGGTTTCATCGCTCTCACACTTTGAATGACTATTGCGCGGTCATACAACATTGTACCCAAACTAAAATGTTATTTTCTTCACACAGCTAGAGCGTTCTTTTGGTGGTATTTAATCACCGCTGGGGTTTTTATTTTTTGCTAAATTAACAAAAAAAAGACCAAAATTTTTGAAACAAAAAACACGTTTTTCTTTGTTTCTGTTATAAAAATTTGCAAATAAATAATTGTTCTTCATAAATTTAGGCCGAGATGTATTCTGCTACATGACTGGTGAAAATAACACAAATTAGGATGTATTATTTAGTTTGTAGGAAAGTTATAGAGTTCACAAACTATGGTATAGATCTGAAAATTGATCAATCCTGAAGTATTGACAGCCAATCTAATATCTTGAGGTCCAAGAATGTCAGAACAGTACAGATATCCCCCAACAAATGACCCCTTTTTGCAAAGTAGATAGTCCGACGTACTTCATAAGAGGCATGGCAAGTTTTTTGAAGTTGTATTTTTTTTTTTTTGTCGTAAATTTTCGGAAAATAAAAAAATTTTAAAAAATATTTTCGCTATTTTTTTTGTACATACTGTCACCTGTGCAGTACAGCGTCATCATATAACTGGCATGGCGGTGATCAGGGACACTGACTGGTGACAGTATGAAAAATAAATTTTTTTTTTATTTTTAATTTTTTGTTAAATTTTTTTTTCTTTTTCTTTTTTATATTTCACTGTGACCAAAGTAGTACAATGTTACCATAGTAACATTGTACCACTTTGGGGAAGTGATCAGTATTTATTTTATTTTTTTTTTTTTTTACACAATTTGTGTATAGCAAAGAATTACTTTGCTATAAGCAAGCATTTACCTGAATGACATAGATTCATTCAGGGTTTTTTTTTTTTTTTTTTTTGTGCTTAGCTGTGATTTGGCCACAGCTAATCACATGACATGATTGGCCCAGCTTGTGCATGCGATCGTTCTGACCATTCACAGCTAGACACATTAGTATACAATGGATGGCATAAATGAAGCCATCCATTGTATACAACTGTCATGTGACCTGCTGTGATTGGTCACAGCAGGTCACATGGTACCGGCAACGGGGTCGGTACTCAGATCTGTCATCGGCCGTGTCCAAGGTACACGGCCGGGGACAGATCGCATGGCTCTGCAGGCGTGCAAACTGCGCATGCCTGAAAGGAGGCCATATGGTGTCCACCCGGAAAGGTGAGTGTTTTTGCCGGCTGCCATTCGGCCATAGGCCGGGCGGGAACCGGTTAATAATAGTTGCACAAATTAGTTGTGTACGTTCAGTGTAAGGATGCGTAAACTGGCTTTTAGGAATCCATGTATGCTTTATTTCTCTGTTGTGTTTTTTTTTTTTTTTTTTTAGTTGTATTTTCTATGAAATAATTGGGGTTTTTTTGTCTATTTTACAGCCATTCAACACAAATATTCAAATTGGAAAGCTTTCTTAGTCAAGCGACTAACTGGTGCCAAGACACTACCTGCAGATTTTGCTCAAAAGGTAACAAATATTTTTCGATACTGTAAGTCTAAATTTCTGTGTTGCAAAGACAAGCACAACTGCCCTCTCGGTTTGATGGCTGAATGCAAAACTTTAATGAGAACCTATCTGTAAAAGCTGTACCAAAAAGAGGCAGGCAGATGCCAAGGGACTAGTCACCAATATTGCCTGTGGGCCTCCTGCAGCTAGTCCTTTTTTTTTTTTCTCTCTTACTGATTTACCATACCTTGTTCTGGCCTGTGTTTTTGTGCATAGGCGGCCATCTTGGAGCAGGGATTTTGCTTTTTGTTAGAACTGGAGGGAAAATATTCAAGAAGCAACAGAAGATGTGCACAAGAAACGGAGGGGATGAAGCAAAAGCAGAGGGAGATCATTATATTAAAGCTTTCTTTCTAGCAAGGAGAGTCGTAAGCAGCACTGTAGCAACATCACCAGATCTCACTCCAAATGTGGCTAAATTAGCAATTTACAGACAGCAGTGCCTTTTATTACAGATAATATACACCTATGAGGGTGTAGGTACACTTAAATGCCAGGAAGTGCAATGCTCTTTTTCAGGAGGAAATCCAGACAAAAGGTAAATCTTTCAGGGTAGTGCTTAGACACGACGACAATTTCTTGATCTTCCCTAGAAGATTGCAAAACGTAAAGCAGACCTTCCAGGAGGCACAGGTGATGTAAAGTACGAGTTTGAAATCCCATGAGAATGCACTCCTCTTCCATTTTTTTTTTTTTTTTTTTTTTTTTTCTAGCTCTAGTAGAAGGCACAGTGAGCTCACTTGTGTATCCCAAAAGCATCAGGGGCTGGGGTCTAGATAATTTTGGATACAAATGACCTTTTTAAAGTTATATTAAAGGCAGATTATTTTTTTTTGTTGTTTAAAAATAAATAACGTCATACTTGCCTACTCTGTGTAATGGTTTTGCACAGAGCAGCCCTGATCCTCACCTCCTCTGGCCCCCTACTAGTGCTTCTGCCCTTCCATTATTATTATTATTATACAGTATTTATAAAGCGCCAATAGTTCACTCAGCGCTGTACATTACAAAGGGGGACAGAACATGTGACAGAACAACAACAATACAATGCAAAACATGAGGGGATCGAGGGCCCTGCTCTTTCGAGCTTACAATCTAGGAGGGAGGGGATGGTGGCACAGGAGGAGATAGCTGTGGGGGATGGGGTGGTAGGAAGAGTGGAGGAGGTTGGCAAGTTAGCAGGGGGTGGGGTAGGCTTCCACCCTTCCTAGTGCCCCCAAAGCAAGAAGCTTTCTTTGGGGGCACCTGAGCAGGCTTTCTCCCGAATCCAAAGAACAAAGGTATACCGCTCAAGCAAAGAATCCAGATCAATCCACAACAGGTTCAGGCTTTGGCTCACCACCACACACAATGCAATAGGAAGAAGGGTCATCCGCACACCAGAGGATAGATGAATATAGTGTGTAGTTATTGATCCATAGGACACACAAAACACCAGGACAAGAATACAGGACCTGTTAATGCGTTTCACACGATCTCGTGCTTAATCATAACCAATTATTTTGCTTATGATTAAGCACGAGATCGTGTGAAACGCATTAACAGGTCCTGTATTCATGTCCTGGTGTTTTGTGTGTCCTATGGATCAATAACTACACACTATATTCGTCTATCCTCCAGTGTGTGGCTGACACTTCTTCCTGTAGGCTTGCTCCTGAGCCACTGTTCTGTGTCCATTCACACATGGAGCAGTGGCTTGGCCCCGCCCTCGCTTTCTCCTCATTGGCTCACTGGCTGTGATCGACAGTAGCAGGAGCTGTTGGCTATTGCTTCTGTCTCAGCCAATGAGGATGGAGAGACCCAGGAAAATCTAAGGCTGTTGTGCACATTGCTGAATTGAGATCGAGTTCGGGTACGTTTTAGGAGGAGCTGGGGGGGCTGCTGCAGAAAGGTTTTTCACTGTCATGCAAAGAATACATGATGGTAAATAACCTTGAGCCTTTACAACCACTTTAACGCCATTCTTGTTGGCGGATAGGGTCGAGGCACAGGGGGCTTGCAATATTATTATTATTATTATTACATCGAGTTTATATAGCGCCAAAGGATTTGCTCAGCGCTGTACAATAGGGGGGACAATACATGGCACAGTACAACAAAAAACAGACAGTGTACGAGGGGTAAGAGGGCCCTACTCTTTCAAGCTTACAATCTAGGAGGGAGGGGGTAGTGGAACAATAGGAAGTGGCTGAGGGGAATGAAGTGGCTGAGGGGGATGAAGTGGTGGGAGGAATGAGGGAGGATGGCTGTTAGGTGAGGGTGTATTATAAAAGCAGACCTCACTTTTGACATGGAAGGTCCACCTTAACTTTTATACTTTCAGGTCCATTTAATGTCCTCATATGGCTTGACCTATTGCATCATAACAAGTTTAGTATTCACTACCTGAGGGTAATTATTCAGGCCAAACCCTATAGTGTCAGTCATGTGACCAGCTGTAGACCATTCATCCTGAGATCTCTATTGAAGGGGAGACTTGTGGTTAATGCTGCTGATAATCCAGCTCTGCCTGAATGCCTGTATCCCAAGCCCTTTTGAGTGAACCCACAAGACCAGTGTTCTGGCTTTAAGTCCTATGTCTGGCACTTGGTCACTTGTCCCCTTTGCATGGTTTCCCATTGGTCTAGAATATGCACTCTTTCTGTGGCTTTTGGTGTGTCAGCAGTCATTGAACAGTGACAGTGTTGTACTATGACTTGCCAATAGCTGCTTTCAAGTGACTATAGACCTGCATTTGAAATATTAAGATGTTAAACATTAAGAAGTGTGATGTCAATTTGGTTTTACTTATGTGTTGTATTTATAAATTAAGGTGAATTCTTGAAAAATACTAAATAGATAAAAAAAATAACAGTTTTATGTATACCACACAAAAATAGAATTAAATTACACTCTGCTCTTTTTTTTCTTTTGTTAAAAGGTGTCTGATAGTATGCAGTATCCCTTCAAGCCTTCAATGAGAGTGGAAGTAGTCGACAAAACACATCTATGCCGGACGCGGGTGGCAGTCGTAGACAGTGTAATCGGTGGTCGGTTACGACTGGTGTACGAAGAGAGCGAGGACAAGACGGACGATTTCTGGTGTCACATGTACAGCCCCCTCATTCATCCTATTGGATGGTCTCGAAGCATAGGCCATCGGTTTAAGAGATCAGGTACATGCAGAGTAGGGTCTTGTTTACAGTTGGCCTTTATCATTCTCGTACAGTAAATCAAAGCTGCAATCAATGAAATACATCTACTGAGCTGTTTTTCCAATAAATGAAATTATTTAAAAAAAATTCTGTTTTGTATCTCACACACACCTGCCACACTGTATAGCCAAGTAGTGGCTGCATAGTCAAAGGTGGGTGACACTGATATACAGAACCTGTAGCTCTGTGACTTCCTGTGAATTGCCCCTTAGAGTTCTAAAACTGGAAAAAGGGTAGAATTAAACTGTTGTTTTTTTATTCTTTTCAGACATCTTAAAGAAAAATGAATCTCACTTTAATGCGCCTTCACACTTATTTTCAAAGGTAAATTTTATTTATTTCAGGTACTTGTATAGCACCGTCAATTTACACAGCGCTTTACATACATATTGTACATTCACATCAGTCTCTATTCCTCAAGGGGCGTACCAAGGTATTCATATTAGACATCTTTTCTGGCCCTGTTTACTAAACTTCTGTTTGTGTAGTTAGCATCCTTTATTAGGTATTGTTTGTGCAGGAAAATTATCAGATTCAAACATCAACGTGTCACTTGTGGTTTGGCAGTGAAAGATATCGTACCTGACAACCACCAATCAGACCTCCCATGGATCTGATTTCAAAAGACAGATCTAAAACAATTCTCTGACTAAATGATAAATATGCCCAGTGAAGTAACTAGCTTCACATAATACACAGAGATGAAACAAATCCTCCTATATAAGTTGTAACAGTTTATCTGCAGTCTTCTCTCCTCTACATCTGTTCAAAATCATGAATTACACAGCATTTTTCAGCTCTAGAAGGCAGGGGGCGGGGATATGATGTCACACTGCACAGCACAGAGTAGGAAGCTGAGTTTAATATGAGACCTGAGTGGAGTGAAAGGACACACCCCCTCCTATGCAATCCCATAGGGAAACATGCACTTCTGAGGCTGTCAATCACCTGCTATGAGCTGGAGTGGAGAGTGGAACTGGGACGTTTTCTCCAGGATTATGCGGTGTCCACATAGACTGTCAGAAGTGACACATGCCGATAGTAAGAGAAATGCGAGTAGCTACAGAAATCACGATTGTTTCTTTGGATAAACCTAGTACACACCGTAGAAGGATATGCTTTGTTTATCTTTCATTTCGGAGGTTTAAAACCACGTTAAAGGGTACATCAAGCCAAGTCGCTTTTTTTTTTTTTTGGACTAAATGAACTCTTGCTTGGTTTTTACTGCCATCCCCAACTGCATTAGTGATACCTTCTCACTTCCAGTCCTCTGGACAACTGTTTCACCGTACACGATGTGAGGGAAAATCTATAACAGAAACACTGGCCAGGTTTCAAGGTTTGCCCTATTTCTCCTAGCCTTATTGTTTGTGTTTATGATGAAGACTTTCTCTAACCTATTGTCTAATAAATCGCTGTCAGCAGGACAGTAAGTGTGGGCAGTTTTTCTCTAAAGAAGCCTGGGATAGCAGTAAAGACCTGGCCGCTTCTAACCCATGACCAATGCCAAGGCATTGGTCATGTGATCTCTGTTGATGTAGAGGGTATTTATTCAGGCAAAACTGATGAGACCCCAACTTTCTTTTTTTTTTTTTTTTTTTTTTTTTATCTGTGAAGATAATCTCCTTCTTGCATTCATTTTTTTTTTTTTATAAATACTGTTGCTGTAACTGCCTAAAAAGTGACTAGTTGGCTTTAAAGTGGCTTTAAAGCCAAACATTTTCTGTCTTAATGCATTAAGGTAAAAAATGTTTTGCAGTGTTCTGTCCTCCCCCCCCCCCCCCCCCCCCCCCCCCCCCCCCCCCCCTCCCCCCCCCCCCCCCCTCCCCCCCCCCCACCCCCCCCCTCGGCCCCCCCCCCGATAAATACTCAATCGATGCATGTCTGCATCTCTTCTTTGCCCTTTCTTCCTCTTCACACAAGGACTTAGGCTCCTCTTCACACAGGGGCTTAGGCTGCTGTCAATCAAACGTTGTGAGGAGGAAGCAGGGGGTGGGACCAAGCCGCGCTGTGTGTCTATCCATGGAGTGCTGCTCCATAGACATACACCGCTCGGGCGCAAGCACACACTGTGCCCCCATATCAAGTAGCTTGCTATGGGAGCACATGGAGAAGAGAAGCCAAGATCACCTGCAGAGAACCCCAGAAGACAAGGTTCAGGGCCGCTCTGTACAAAACCATTACACAGAGCAGCCGGTAAGCATGACATGTTTATTTTAATTTTAAAAAATGCCTTTATTAACACCAATTTGCCTGTTAAACTACAGTGCATTCAGAGCAAAAGTCATGAGGTCCAAAGAACTGCCTGCAGAGCTCAGGGACAGGATTATTGCAAGGTACAGATCTGGGGAAGGCTACATAAAAAAAAAATCAGCTGTAATGCAAAATAGCTTTTGCAAGCTCCAAGCAGGCTTTCCTGTATTTTGCACTGATGAGAGGCTTCCGTCTAGCCACTCTACCATAAAGACCTGAGCGGTGGAGGTCTGCAGTGTCTTCCTTCTGGAACTCTGTCCCATCTCCACACAGGATCACTGGAACTTAGTCAGAGTGACCGTCGGGTTCTTGGTCTCTTACTAAGGCCCTTCTCCTCTGATTGCTCATTTTGGCAAGGGAACCAGCTCTTGGAAGAGTCCTGGTTGTCCCAAACATCTTCCATTTGAGAATTATAAAGGCCACTGTGTTCTTGGCAATCCTCAGTGCAGCAGATCTGTGCCCTGCAGTAATCCTGTCCCTGAGCTCTGTAGGCAGTTCCTTTTTGACCTGATAAAGTATGCATTCTCAGCTGTGGGGCCTTTTATAGAGAGGATTGTGCCTTTCCAAAACATGTCCAATCCATTTATTTACCACAGGAGGACTCCAATCAAGGTGTGAGGCACCTGAGCTAAATTTCAAGGGTTGTTGCAAAGGGTTTGAATACTTATGCCAATGTTATATTTCAGTTGTTCCTTTTTAATAATTCACAGAAATTTCTAAAGTTCTGTTTTCACTTTGTCTTTATGGGGTACTGAGTGTAGATGAATGAGAAAATTAATTTAAAAGAGAAGTACAGCCAAAGCTCTTTTGCCTTAGTTCTCCTGTGAATCCCAGAAGTGCAGTTCGTTCTCCACTCCTGTGACCCAGTTTCAGCTGATGATAGACTGAAGTCTGCTGTCGGCTGACGTCATTCAGCCGGTCAAGGCTGGGGAAAGATCCCGACTTCAGGGTCTGGAGCGGCACCGAGAGCCTGAGCCAGCCGGTCCCTTCCCCTCCAGTGGGCAGCGCTCCAGTGAGCGCCGGGGGGGGGGGGGCAGACAGTGGTGACTGACAGCTCAGCTCAGAGTGGCTGTGAAAAACTTGGCGATCAGCGGTCATGTGAACGCTGACTGATTCTGCATCCACCTAGGTAAGTATAAATGGGCCTTGCTTCTCTTTTAAACAACTGTGGTGTCGGGCTGCAACATTACAAAATTTAAAAAAATGAAGTGATCTGAGTTCTTTAGGAATGCACTATACATGTCCATCTAAAACTACTCTGTCCACAGGGTGACAGCTATGCAGTGATTTTACAGCGGAATAAAAAGTGTTGTCACCCTGTTAAAAGGTAGCTGTAAAAAATACCCAAACTGGGAGGTAATAGTTCCACTTTAAGTACGATTCAATTTAAGCACCCTCTCTGCCCCATACCATGTGACAGTACTGGATGTCTGAGTGGCCAATCTGCATGCACCGATGCTCCTGTGGGCAGAAGGGGAGCAAGTTGCATGATGAACCCCATACCCAGAAGTATGGGGTTTTTCACTTTGTTGCTTATATTTAATGCATAGTTCCTCTTTAAATGAACTTGTGTTTTTTTTTTTTTTTTCATTAGGTCAAAGATGTTGACCAAAACGCTGAGTGGTTCAAGGAAGGGATGAAACTGGAAGCTATCGATCCACTAAACCTCTCTGCAATATGCGTAGCCACCATTAGAAAGGTGAGTGTTTTTCATGCTAAAGCAGTCGCATAGTCATTGGCTTGGAGTTAGTACACTATAATGTAGGTTGCTCATTAAAGTGTTACACACACACACACATATGTGTATATGGATAGATAGATGTGTGGATGTGTGTGTATGTATGCATATATGTGTGTATGCATATATGTGTGTGTGTGTACACACACACACACACACACACACACACACACACACACACACACACACACACACACACACACACACACACACACACACACTGGAGCTTGCTGTGTAAAAAGGCAGTTTGATCCTGCCTTCTTTGGTCCTCCCCTTCTTCCACAGTCCTCAATTCACCTGCTGATAGTACAGAGCTCTAGGAGTCCTTCTGCACATGCTCAGTTTAGTGCGTATTTCTAGAGACTTTTCTTTCCTTGGGCAAATGCATGTGATGAGCACAGGGCCAATCAGTGCTATGCCAGACAGAGGGTCAGGGGTCATGCAGCCCCATAGGACAGTCAGAGGAGAATGAAAACTCCTCCTGCAAGCTTTAACCTGTGCTCTGCTGGACACTGATAAAAGTCACATGACTATATACTGCTGATGAAAAAAGGTATTTGGCAGTTTTTATTTACTAAAATAATTGCACTTCCATGTTGTATGCACTGTGGGAGACCAGATATAGTAAATGCTGGGTCCTAGGTTTAGTAACACTTTAACATCTAGATTAAACCAAGCAACTCTTCTGATTCCAATAAACATAACACATTTGTTTTATGTGCACCTTAAGGTGTTAGCCGAGGACTACCTGATGATTGGAATTGACGGGTCAGAAGCAGCAGATGGTTCAGACTGGTTTTGTTATCATGCTTTATCACCCTCGATATTCCCTGTTGGCTTCTGTGAAATTAACAAGATTGAACTAACTCCGCCACGAGGTAAGGTTATGTATTGGTTTACAAATATTTAATTCAGGGTGAATTCATGACACACAGGTTTTGGTTCCTGTAAGGGATTACAAACTTCCAAATTTCTGCTCAGCGCAAGTCTTTGTACCATTACCTAGAAGGCAGTTGGGATTCTGAGAACAGGTACATAGTTTGAGGGTGCCCAGTACTGGATTGTATCTTTTCCAATAGTTTTTATAAAATTTGCAAGTATACAGTGAGGAACAGAAGTATTTGAACACCCTACGATTTTGCACGTTTTCCCACTTAGAAATCATGGAGGGGTCTGAAATTCACATTGTAGGTGCATTCCCACTCTGAGAGACAGAATTAAAAAAAAAAAATTCAGGGAATCACATTGTATGATATTTAAAGAATTTATTTGTCTTGCACTGCTGAACATAAGTATTTGAACACCTGAGAAAATCAGTGTTAATATTTGGTACAGAAGCCTTTGTTTGCAATTACAGAGGTCAAACGTTGCACTGCAACAGGGATTTTGGCCCACTCCTCCACACAGATCTCCTCTAGATCTGTCAGGTTTCGGGGCTGTCGCTGAGCAACACGGAGTTTCAGCTCCCTCCAAAGATGTTCTATTGGATTTAGTTCTGGAGACTGGCTAGGCCACTCCATAACCTTGATAAGCTTCTTACGGAGCCACTCCTTGGTTATCCTGGCTGTGTGCTTCGGGTTGTTGTCATGTTGGAAGACCCAGCCACGACCCATCTTTAATGCTCTGACTGAGAGAAGGAGGTTGTTGCTCAAAATCTCACAATAAATGGCCCCATTCATCCTCTCCTTAATACAGTAAAGTCATCCTGTCCCCTTTGCAGAAAAGCACCCCCAAAGCATGATGTTACCACCCCCATGCTTCACAGTAGGGATGGTGTTCTTGGGATGCAACTCATCCTTCTTTTTCCTCCAAACATGATGAGTGAAGTTTAGACTAAAAAGTTCTACTTTGGTCTCATCTGACCACATGACTTTCTCCCATGCCTCCTCTGGATCATTCAGATGGTCATTGGCAAACTTCAGATGGGTCTGGACATGTGATGACTTGAGCAGGGGAACCTTCCGTGCAATGCATGATTTGAAACTATGACGGCGTAGTGTTCTACCGACAGTGACCTTTGAAACTGTGGTCCCAGCTCTCTTCATGTCATTGTCCAGCTCCTCCCTTGTAGTTCTGGGCTGATTCCTCACTTTTTCTTATCATCAGTGATACCCCACAAGGTGAGATCTTGCATGGAGCCCCAGTCCGAGGGAGTCTGACAGTCGTCTTTTAGCCTCTTCCATTTTCTAACAATTGCTCCATCAGTTGATCTATTTTCACCAAGCTGCTTGGCAATTGCCCCGTAGCCCTTTCCAGCCTTGTGGAGGTCCACAATTTTGTCTCTGGTGTCTTTTGACAGCTCTTTGGTCTTGCCCATGGTAGTAGTTGGCGTCTGACTGACTGTGGGGTGGACAAGTGTCTTTAAAGAGCTCAGACAGGTGCTACTATGTTAGATTAATGAGTGGAGTAGAGGTGGACTTTTTAAAGGCACAGTAACAGGTCTTTGAGAGCCAGAATTCTTGATGTTTCTTAGATGTTCAAATACTTCTGTTCAGCAGTGCAAGACAAATAAATTCATTAAAAATCATACAATGTGATTTGCAGAATTTTTTTTTTTAATTCTGTCTCTGAGTGGGAATGCACCTACAATGTGAATTTCAGACCCCTCCATGATTTCTAAGTGGGAGAACTTGCAAAATCGCAGGGGGTTCAAATACTTCTGTTCCTCACTGTAAATACAGGGATTATCAAACAATAGGGATAAACTCCCTCTAGCCCCTCCACCCATATATCATGTTTAATCCACAGGGAAACCGGTGCTTGGTCAGGCTCCTGTCAGTCTCTTAAACATCCAAATAAAAGGGAGAAATGGCACCTGGCCTTTGTTCTTCTATGTCTTTGTTTCCTCTCTGGCTTACCTACAAGGCATACAGTGGTGAATAAAGATATACAGCAGAACAGAGACAGGGTGCCACTCTTTCCTTTCATTTGGATAAGTATGAAGATACTTTTGAAGTACATTGATTACATTTTCTGATGGCCTCTTGACATATAAGGCAAATGGTACAATTATTATTTCAAGATATCCATTCTCTGTTTGCTGTTCCTATAATAAAACTGGTATTCTGATGGATAAGGACTCTCCAGTAAGGAAATCCTACTCCTTAGCTATGGAAATTCAGAAACTCAACAGAATATTTTGTTGCATTGTTTCTACAAAATACAGATATTCAATATAATCTGCTATGGAATTTAGTTATAAAACTGACCCAGAAATGGATAAAAAAAGGTCTGGATTGCTTCTTAGCTGCTTTCCAATTGCAGTGGTCTCTGAGCAGAACAATATCAACTGGATAAAGGAGTTGAGAATGTTTTTATATATTGCATGTTTTCCGCAACCTCTGTAGTCTCAAAACCAGAGGATTGATTTGTATCTGTTTTATAGGATATACAAAACTACCTTTCAAATGGTTTGACTACCTCAGGGAAACTGGATCCATAGCTGCTCCTGTGAAGCTTTTCAACAAGGTAAGTAAAGCTAGCATTGATTGTACTTCGAGTGTGAATTCTTTAATGCACAGTTAATCCCAAAAACAAAAATGTAGAACTTTGCTCTTTACATCTGGTATTGCTGCAAATAACACTCACTGTCCCTTCATATCTGCACATACTATTCCATGGTATCTATGGGAGGAGAAATGGTTGTTACACAACCATTTGGACTTCAAACATTTGCCTTTGTTCACCTCTGTTGCCTGGTTGATTGATGGTACTAGTTTGGAAAAGAGCGATACAATTGTTTTGCTGTGTTTCTTTTTTCTTTAACCATTGAGTATTGCAGGAAGTCTTGAAAAGTCAGGTTAAACTGCCACTTGCAGGAGGATTGGATACTGGCAAATGTAAAGATTTGGAAGCCATCCCAGGATAATCTCTCATTTCCATCCCTTCCTAGTATGATGGACATGTTTATTTGGCTACCATTTTTTTTTTTCCAATCAAGCAAGCCTACTGATGGTGCCAATGTCTGAAGACTAATCATGTTATCCTCTGTTTAGTCTCTTCCTTCCCTAGAGTCCCTAGCTCTGTTGATTGTGGTTGAGTCCTCTGCCCTTCTGGTTTTGGAGGCCTTTCTCCCGGTCATGCAAGACATTTACTTGCTGACTTGGATTGCAAAGTCCCAAGCATGCTTCCTTGCCCTGTCCAGCAGATTCTATATCTGGTTTTACTTTAACAATTTTTGAGCCATCTGCCATTGAGACTCTGAATATGAGTCGCAGAAGTTCCATGTGTTTACTCCCAGGGGGTTGTAGTCTTCTGCTTTCACTTCTTATCTAATAATTTTGTCTCCTTATGATGCAGTGCGTACTGCTCTGAAACTAGAAGGTCAACTTGTTGCTACCAGTACTGTTTTTAGTCTTGAGTCGTTAGTGTCATAAGCTTGGAAAGACGTTTTCTTTGCCCCTGATTTTTCAACTCTCTACTGAGATCAGAAGCATCCTGATAAGTTGTTTGCTCCACCAAAGCATTTTTTCAATTTTTTGAGGATTTTGTTCAGAAACAGTAGGTTCTCACTGTGGATCTGGATGTATCTTTCCTTAACAAAGCTCTTACTGTACCAGAGGAGAATACACTCTTTTTAGGACACAACCGGGCTGGAAGCCCTTTCCAAAGCTTTATTTTCTCTGCAGTGTTCTGCTGTAAACATAGTTCTGACTGTGTCAAACCATGTCTGACTGTCTAAATCCCTTAAAAGGGAGCTAGCTACTGCGGAAGTTGATCCCTTGCTTACTGAATGTGTGGAACAGATGCATTTTTAGCTGTGGTTTGTTGAAAGCTTCTACTATGTCTAGAATGGCCTTCATATAACCGCACCAGAAGCATTTGATGTGCATGGCCTTTAATGGACAACATCTCTTCAACCAGCTCTTGATAACATAATCAATGATACTACCAGTTACAAAATCGCCGATCTTCCCCAAAGAAAGAAGCCCAAGGAGCAGAACGGTAATCTCCCTCTCTGACAGACTGGTAATGATTTGTTTCTCTATTCCCTCAGCTTCACAGTCCAGATCCCCTCAAGCTTGGTTCAAATCTTCATACAAGCCTTCCTCTGCATAAAGGTGTGCCCCCACTTTCTAGAATAGGGAGAAGTCTGTACTTTGTGGATGTTTGGACCGTGTGGGTGCAGAACGTGGTGTCCCAGAGTTACAAACTTGAACTGCCACCTTCCTGTGATTCTGCACAAACAAGCAAATTTTCATCAAGCCCTTTCTGGTCTTTTAGATCAAGGTGTCAGTTTCCCTAGTCACTGAGGCCGAACAGTTCAGACTTGGTTGTATGAAGAATCTTGCCTCCTGATAAGCTTTGGACAATTTGGCTGTCCCTTCAACGTAGGGCCACCCATTGTGACACTCTTAGATGACCTCATGTTGAGGGAACAATTGTTTAGGACTTTGTTAGATGTATCTCTGACTGTCCAGACTTTACAATGACTGGGTCAGTGGAACAATCGCTTGGAGTGTCTGATCTAGCCCTGAAGATAGGACTCACCGGTTGGAGTGTCTGGTCTAGTCCTGGGCACATCTTTGGCCAGAGTCTAGCTTTTCCAGATGAAACTTTTAGATCTCTCTCAAATTCAAACTCTTAAATCGAGAAGAGTTGTGACTCTGCTTTGCATGAGATTCTTGGGGCTGATGGTAGTCTTGGAGGCAGTCCACTTTGCCCGATCTTACTGCAATGCAACCTTCTGTTGGTCCGGAAGGCCCAATATGGTTGGTGCCAAAGACAAAGCTATCCCTGGCTCTGCGAGTCAGGAATCCAGTTCTTTCCATCTGTTGGAAGATTCTCCTTATGGACAGAAGCCTATCGGGCTGGTCACCTTGTTGTCTGAGAAGTATTGCTTTCTAATAAACCTCCTGTAACTTTGAGCAATTTGGCTGTCTTTTCAGCCTTAAACCACCCTGTTGGTGAATCATCTGATCTAGGTTCAGTTGGACAACACCAAGGCAGTGGCATACTATCAGGGAGGAACCAGACGTCTCTAGCAAAAGAGAGTGTATTCTCTCCTAGACAGGCATTCACATTCCTACAATGTCACCAAAGTCACCATGTGCCTTTTAGGCATTTACAGTTGGTAGGCAGATTTTCTGGATGGGCTGGGAAGAGTGATCACTGCACCTGACTCTGAAATTCCTGGTCTCCAGGTTCATCAGCTCACTGTATACCCTGCTCAATACACCCTGAAACGTCTTCCTCCATCTGCTCTGTAGAATTGAGATTGAGTGCATTCCAATGATCCTCGTTGCACCAGACTGGCCCAGGCAATGTGAGAAGCCAAACTGGCAAAACTGCTGGCAGACCCTCTTCAGGCATTGCCAAGTTATCAGGCTCTTCTGTCCCAGGGGCTCATCCTCCTCAATTGCTGGCTTTAATGTCATTGCTGTTGAAGCCCACATTCTAAGAGACAGGAGAATCTGAGTTTTTGCATTCTAAAATTCCTTTAAGCCAGGACGTTTACTACTTCTTACCACAGATGAGTTTGGACCAGCATTTGACTTTCAGTAATATCAAGGATCAGGTATCTGCCCTTTCCATTCTGTTAAAGAGACCTTTTGTACAGGGGGTCTCCCATAGGGCTCAATTGTTTCCCAGTGACTCCGAATCAATTAACATTGACGTCATAGACAGCCAGGCAGCTTGCATTGACTATGGCAGTCTGTATATTTGTCACTGTACAGCTTTCCTTTTTTTGCTGTTAGCAGTACATTAATTAAAATATTCCTTTTTGATGGCTTTTTTTAATAAATGCAGTGCTGTTTGTCCCTCCAGGAAGTCCCCAATCATGGCTTCCGTGCCGGGATGAAGCTTGAAGCTGTGGACCTCATGGAGCCTCGCCTGGTGTGTGTAGCTACAGTAACACGCATCATACACCGGCTTCTAAGGATTCATTTTGATGGCTGGGAAGACGAGTACGATCAGTGGGTTGACTGTGAATCTGCAGACCTCTATCCTGTTGGATGGTGTCAGTTAACGGGATACCAACTACAACCTCCAGCTCCACAATGTAAGTAAAAATGTCTCATTTTTTTGTTTTTCTAAATGGCCAATGGTACAGTTTCTTTTAGGCCTACTAAACAATGTATTTTAATTACCTGCCTGCCTGGATATACATTAAAATTGTTGGTTGTAAAGGCTGAAGGTTTTTCACCTTCATGCATTCTATGCATGAAGTTAAAAAAAAAAACTTCAGTGTTCAGCTGCCCCTAATACTTACCTGAGCCCGAACAGCTTTCCTGGGTCTCTACCTCCTCAATGAGTGAGACTCTCTGCAACAGGAGCCACTGGCACCCACTGCTGCCAATCACTGCCAATATGGGGGGCAGGGCTGAGCCACGCTCTGTGTCCTATGGACACGTAGAGGCGGCTCAGGAGCGAGCACACGAGTACCCAAGGGCAAACAGCTTGCTCTGTGGGCAATCAGCGGAGGGGGTGAAGCCAGGGGCACTGGCGGGGGAACTAAGAAGAAGAGGATCAGGGCTGCTCTGTGCAAAACCATTGCACAGAGCAAGTAAGCATACCATGTTTGTTACTTATTTATATTTTTAAAAAAGCTGAAGTATCCTTACTAATTAATTTTTTAAGGAGACACTGTTGCTTTGCCCATTCAGTAATTATGTAAACCCCCAGTTTCCGAGGTTGAGAAGCAGTGAATCTCATTTTAATATGGTTCTTTTAGTGCGTGGGTAGGAATTTGGGATGTTTATTCCTCACCACTCTCAAAGGTTCACTTGGCAGAAGTCAGGGGCTTCTGTAGCTGTACCAAATTAGGATGGGGGGGGGGTGCTTACCCAACAGCTGTGGTTGGTTTGGGGGTAAGAGAGATTAGTAGATATTACTGGATATTGCATATGGTCCTTTTTTGCAACAGAATTTAGAAAAAGCTTTGCTGTTGAAGCCTTGATACTGCAGCACAGACTTTTTGAGGTTTGGATATTCATTTAAAACCAGCAGTAACGTGAAATACAGAGACAAATTAAGAGGAATAATAACTCTGCAGTGGTCTGCTTTAGATCTTCTGAGGATGGACTAAATGCAATTTCCCCTGCGCTCTGGGACCCAGGCCAGTGGTGGGTAGATCAAATCCCAACAAAGCAACCACCGGGGCATACAAGGTCGTGCAGCTCCAAACCAAGGCTGGGGAAGCCCGAACAGAACTGTGAAGTAAAACAACAAGAAGCGCACCAACCTTGCGCATTACCTCAGTAACCAAACTTTATTTAGTAAAAGAATGGTACTCACAAACAGCGAATAAAAACAGGCATGTAAGTCCTCCCAGGGACTTCAAAGGCAAGAGGCCAGCGCGAATCCCATCATGGGGGTAGCCACTCAGTACAGCTGACGCGTTTCGAAGGTCATGCCTTCTTCAGTTCCAGTGCGACGGACAAGCTCCGGCGCCGAGCAAGGACTTCTATCAGCTGCAGGTCACTCGCAGCGAGGGCAACGTCTGGGGGTATAAATGGGAACCTACACTCTCAGTCCAGTCAGCTCTGAGGAAGAAGGCATGACCTTCGAAACGCGTCAGCTGTACTGAGTGGCTACACCCATGATGGGATTCGCTCTGGCCTCTTGCCTTTGAAGTCCCTGGGAGGACTTACATGCCTGTTTTTATTCGCTGTTTGTGAGTACCATTCTTTTACTAAATAAATTATGGTTACTGAGGTAATGCGCAAGGTTGTTGCGCTTCTTCTTGTTTTACTTCTTAGATCTTCTGAGGGCCAGGTCTACCAGGGCCAAAAATCACAACGCGAGTATGTTAATCAACATATTAGCTACAATGTTCACTGCAATATTTTGCTTATGGAAATTTGTGTGTATTTATGTAAGGAAGATTAGGATTTGTGATCTGTAGATCCATTGCCTGAAAAACCAGATGGCAACGGCACTTCTTAGTTTCTCACATGTGCATGAATGGTGTAGCCGTGCCTGCAGCCTGCTGGGATGTGTGACAGCTTTGAGACCATCTACTATACATTGCACATGCGTAGCAGTGCGTCATTCGGGAGCCAGGTTCAAAAACCCAGAGGAGACCGCCTGCTCCTGATAACGTACACAGAGAAGGTGTCAGTGCTGCAGTTTACAACAGACAACTCCTGGATTTACAGGGACTCTAAGTTTTGAAGACAACCCAGTGGACAAGGGATAAAGTTCCTCTATGAAGATATGGACCACCTGATATTTCCACTTTGGGAACATTCCTGCAGATTGAACCGCTGCCTTTCTCCCTCTTGCTACCATAAAGAGTCAGTCTTGACTTGACTGACAGAATTTTATTTAAAGTGTCTTTTTCCTAAAACTGATATTTCAGCCTTTGGCTGATGAATACTTTGCTGGATGTTTAAATCCTCCAGACTGGTATTGTATTCTATCAGGATTTTGTTGGATAGATTTCTAAATTGAGTTACTGGACTTGTTTACCTGCTGTGACCATTGTGCTGTTTTAATTAATAAATAAAACATAACAAACATGTCATATTTACCTGCTCTGTACAATAGTTTTCCACAGAGCAGCCCTTTCAAATGCCCAGAGCAAGCTGCTTGCTCTGGGGCCACTCATGCATGCTCGCTCCTGAACTGCCTCGGTCCCACCCTCTGCCCCCTCCTCACTGGCTGTTATTAAAAGCAGCGGGAGCCATGGGATCCAGCTGCTGTGTCCTGTCCAACAAGGAGAGGGAGACCCAGGAGAGCCGAGGCTCTTGTGCATATTGCTGGATTGTGATCAGGCTCCGGTAAGTACTAGGTCTCCCTGCACACTGAAGTTTTTTTTTTTTTTGTTTTTGTTTTTGTTTGTTTTTTCTATCTTCTTGCATAGCATGCATGAAGGTAAAAAACCTTCATCCTTTAGAACCACTTTAAGGCAGGTTGACCTCTTAGGAGGAGGTCAACAATCATTCCTGCATTTCAGACAGGTTTTCTTTAAGCCTTTGGACTTTACAGTTGGAATGATTGCTCTTATATAATTAAATGTTTATTTCGCTGCAGCAAAGGACAACCAGACCAATGTAACCAAACAGAAGAAAAAGTCTAAATCACAACAGTACAAAGGACACAAGAAAAGTGAGTACTGCTTTTTCATTACCATATCAAGTATGAACTCTGTAACTTGGGATATTTTGGAAATTTGATTTCTTGTAAGGGCAAAATCTGAAAATCTACTTCTGTACACAGACATTAGAGCCTCTCCTTTGAGGAATCTCAAAGTCAAACAGCTGGACCCAGCAAAAGACTACCTTTCTGGGCAGCAATTTTTCAGTCGTTGCTCTCTTGCAGTGTTTTTGGCTGCTGCTGGAATCAGAAACTTCTAGCTGTGCCAAATAGTGTGTGCCACACTGTGTTTCTGTCCGCTGGACCCTATGTCATTAAAGGACATAGTACTGACTTAGAGGGCTTTGGGAGGAACTACAGCGAGCAGTGGGGGACAAAGTATCCAACACTTCTGGAATTGCCATTTTAAAGTGTCACCCAGAGCTCTGCTAATGAATAAGGCTCCATTACATTGCAACTCCTGTGTTTTCATCCATTAATGTGGGTAATCGCACCCTGCGTTGGGCAACCCAATCAAGATTAAGGCTTTAATGCATGAACAAAGGTGCTGTCTGCATTTTTTTTTTTTGTGGTGAACAGAGTAGTGGGATAATGGCAACCAGGGCTGGTGCTACCACTAGGCAAACTAGGCAGCCATCTAGGGTGCAGCCACGGCCGGGGGCAGTACAGCCGGCCCTGCTTTAATTTTCAGTTCACCATAGGGGCCCAGGGGGCGGGTAGCAGAGAGGGACTTTTTTTTTTTTTTTTTTTTTTTTTTTTTTTAAATTTCGGGCACAGGCAGCTAAAGCCGCACTGCATTTTGAAATGCTAAACAGTGGCGGCTGTAGCCTTTCACTGACGGATTGATTATTTCACTGGAGGAGAGATGATCTCTTCCTCCACTGCAGAGGGCAGAAGGCGAGGCTATAAACCTACCAGCAGTAGGTAATTCAACAGAGCAGTGGCTGAGGGCACTGGCAGCAATACGAACCTGATGCACAGGCAAGCTCACAATTTCTGTTTTCTGAGGCACAAACATACAGCCATACGCTGTATACAGACATACATACAGCACCTTCTGTACTGTGTGATCATCATCATGATAATGATGACGACCACATAAGCACAGTGAGATGCTTCCCGTTTAGTTCTTATTTACACTTGTGTTTGATGGATATTAAAATGTGGAGCTGAGCCGAACTTTTACTGTCCCCCAGCCACTCCCCTTTATGCTGCAAGGCACTTCCACCGTCGTATGGCAATAGTGGCGGGGTGTTGTGTTAAAGAACTTATCTGCTTCTCTTCAGAATATTGAGGATGAATTTCTTCACAGTGTTTGCAGCTGCCTTGTTTAGTAAGGGGTTGTTTTAAGGCTTGTTCAATTCTTATTAGGAATATACAATACTTGAATGTCCATAACATGGCCACAGATTCACTTCAAAGTGTATATATAACCAAAACATTTTTTTTTTTTTTTTTTTCCTTTGGATACAGTAGGGAATGGAGGTTACAGAAGCTTTTTTGATCTCCATGGTTAGACTGTCTACTAGTTAGTATGGGTAGCCATTTAAGGGTTTAAGGACCATGTGGATATTAATTTGGATCATATGAAGCAGTGTAGACTCAAGCACTGCACTCCATATCGCTCATGAAATGATTCACAAACTAATGCCATGTGCAATCTATGTACACTAGTCCAATAACATTTCAGCCTATTCATTATTTTTATTTTTTTTTTTTGGTTGTGGATTTTTCCCTTGTTACATATCTTTACAGCTGCTTCATATTTATTGGAATTCAACTTTTGGAGTATTTTATGCGGTTCCAGGTGATCAGCTGTAATTGAACAGTGTATATTGTCGTTTGCTATTACTGTCATTATATTAGCATGATAAAATTGATTATATTTGAAGAGGCAGTTGCCAGCACAGAAATGTAAATGAAGTGTTGTTTGACTCCACTGTTCATGCCTACCTGTACTGCACAGCAGAAACTAAGGGCTGGAGTAGCACCGCTGGAATTGTGAGGAGTCTTGGTGAATTTAAAGTCCTGAAGAGCTCCACTTCCTATTTGGAGGCTTCCTGCAGTTAACCTTTATGTGTCATGATAGACACTTTGAAGATTGGGAGGATTAGGTTGGGCTTTGCTCATAAAAGAATATATAAATGGAGCAGCATGCACTGGAAAGGAAAATGGAGAAAACAAGTTTTCCTTCTTGTCCGATTAGGGCAAACACGAAGTGTTTCACCTTCTGGTTTTACTGCCATCCACAGTTGGATTTGACACTGTAGGCAAGCCCAGGATAAGACAGCTTCTCAACATTGCTACTAGAGCTGGTCTCCTTTTTCATTTTTTTTTTTTTTTGGATTGCCATGTCCACAGCCCCTTGGGACTGGGCATCACAGGGATAACATGGAAGTGACCTTTGTGCACCGAATGTCACATTGGGCACTTGACCGGGCTCGATTCTGGTAACAAGTTGGTCACGTAGCGCTTTCTAGGCCCTGAACTGTTGGCATTGCCTCAGAGCTTGCCCTTTATCTGAAGACTCACTTTGTAAGCCGGTTGAGCCATGCACCAGGAACTCCCTAATCTACAGTGGTTGCCGGGCACCTTTAACTTCCCCACTTCCTTCCATTTTCCACTCACAGAAAGGGTTAACACTGTGGGACTGAGTGCTAACTTAGATGACATCCTATTGAGTGAACAGTTGGCAAGGGCGCTAGTGAACAGTTGGCAGGGGCGCTGTCTAACAGTTTATCTCTGACTGTCCAGAAGTTAGAGTAGTTCTGATGGATTCCGAATCTTCAGAAATCTGTGCTGGAATGGACACTTTTTTTTTAAGTATTTGAGTTTAGTCCTGTTGCTTTCTCAGGAGACACTTCAGACCCGGGCCTGATGGTAGCCTCCTTCAAGGCAGTTTCATTTGCCCAATTCCATGTTAGACCTGTACAAAACAACATTCTGTCATCAATTGACAGCTCAACTAGTCAAAAGACTCAATTAATTTGGCACCAATGACAAGGTTCTCCTTGGCATGGTGACTCAGGAATCCTGCTCTGGAATCTGAGGTCCTTCAAGAAAAAACTGGATAGGTTTTCCCCCCCAAGTACAGGGATCGAGTCTAGCGGAAGCAGTGGTTGTTCTGGTAGCTCCATGGCATCAGTACAACTTAATATATGCCCTTCCTCCCTGAAACGTTCTCCTTGTTTGCATCTCAGGTACATTTCAGTGATCCTCAGTGGTCTGTACTGGTGAATGTGGTATGTCAGCCTAGTTAGCACACCTTGTGGACGCTCCTTAGTCTATTCAGTTGTTCAGGTCTTTCAACTCATGTACTAATTTTACCATCCTGCTTCAAGTTTGCTGACTTTACCAACATGGCCATTGATGCCCAGGTTTTGAGAGACTGCAGCATCTCTAAATTGGTGATTCCTATGATGTTAAAAGCTCAGAAAGGTTGGGTTTCTGTCCTTTATTTTTTCTTTTTCTTTTTTTGTCTTCAGACTGTTAGCTTTTCACTTCTTGATAAAAACTTTTTACACAATGAATCTCCCATGTAGCTCCTCTTGTTTTTTTTTCCCTGTTACTCTAATACTGCTTGTCCAAGTGCCTAAATCGGGGTCCCAATCCACTTGTCCCTCGTGACAATCTACTTATCCTGATAAAAAAAAAAAAAGCACAGATAGGGTGTTTCTGAGGAAAGGGAAGCGTCAGTCTCTCTTAATGCTGAGCAGAAGTGCATTTTCTGAGTGAGTACATGAGGTGCCGGCCCCAATAAGAGAGAAAAAAAAAAATTATTAATTCAGATCCCTCGCACACAGAAGCACTTGGCTGCTCAGTACAAGAACATGCTGAGCAGCAAAATGAAGCTCCGGGGTCCACACCGTTAACGACTTAAGCTCCGGAAGAATTTACCCCCTTCGTGGCTAGGCCATTTTTTTTGTATTTTGGCACTGCGCTACTTTAACTGGCGATTACGCAGTCGTGCAACGCTGTACCCAAATTAATTTCTGATATAAAATATATCCAATAATTTATTTTTTATTTTATTTTTTTTTTAATCTAATTTTCTTCATAAATTTAGGTCAAAGTTTATTTTGCTACATGTCTTTAGTAATTCCCAAAAAGCATATATTAATTGGTTTGTGTGAAAGTTATAGCGTCTACAAACTATAGGATATATACTGGAATTTTTACTAGTGAAGGAGGCAATCGGCGACTTTTATAGAGGGACTGTTATAGTGCGGATGGCAATCTGACACGAACTGACATCACCAGTGACACTAATACAGTGATCAGTGCTAATACTATACGCTGTCACTATACTAATGACACTGGCTGAGAAGGGGTTAACATTTAGGGGCAATCAATGCATTAACTATGTTCCGAACATGCATTAATGTGTTAACTATGCTGTTTTCACTAAGCAATGTGCTGTTTTTTTATTCCCTGTTTTGCAGGGAGACCGAAACCAGCACATCGCCGCTGTCAGTAGAGAGCTCTGTGTTCTTTACCAACACAGGGCTCACTCCTGTCATTCACTCCACCAATCAGTGGGTGCTGCCCCCTACTGGGAAGTGTCAGCTCGCTACTTACCTGAAGCAGGGCTAAAATACACCTGCCCAGTGCCCGGAACTGCATGTCCTGGGTGTTAGGCGATATAAATTGTGCATCCCTGTGAAAGGAATGGTGGGCACAGCACTTCTGGCCTGCAGCTACAAACCAAAGGCAGAAAAAGACATGTGGACAGCCCCCAGTAGGACACAGATCCAAGGCAGCATCACAGCCTGTCCGTCACCTGGCCACCAAATGCATGTGATGGGCGGCGACTTGCTAAGTGGGGGCGATGGGAGGTCCAGTGACCAGAGTCACAATGCGCATTCTCCTGCCAGCCTAGGCTGTATGGCTGCGGCAGGACAGGGAGATACTGAAGACAGTGCAGTTTCACCTGTGTTTCCCACTTTGCTGGGGGGAGGGGGGGGGGGTGTAAAAGGAACTGAAGCCATTCCAGTGCTCTAGCCAGCTGCCCCACACCCCTCATCCACTTCCTGGAGGTGAGGAAATGGCGCCAGATCGAGCCGCAACATCTACTGCCACA